TCAGCCATTTCTCCAGGCATCACTGGCTTCTTTTAGGAGGGGGAAGGTTGATTAGAAAGAAAGAGCATATTGCAGTGCTCACTGCTGCTGGGTGCCCTTGCTTTTGGTCCTCCTGGGGCAGGCGCGATCACATCCTGTGTACACTGACTCTGCCACACAGGGAGGTCTCCATGCCGCAGGATCTCACCTGCCTGTGTCCTGTCACTGAGGACCCTGGCTCCTAAGCAGCCTCCCAGAGATACTCATTTGCTTCTTCCTGTCAGAGTCACTGTCAGGCTCTACTCCCGTCAACAAATCTGCTATTTCTTTATTCCCTTTGTTCTGGGAGTGTTTTCCACTGATGTGTTAAAAATATGTTTCAGTATTTGTGTGGTTCAGCAACGTGACATACATTTAGTTTTATGTTTGCTTCTACTCAATGTAATGATTTGTTATTTTCTCTCTTTTTTAACATTTTCTTTTCTGAATGCATAAACACATGGTTTAAAAGTCAAAACCCTAGAACGTGTTCAAAGGAGTTTCCTCTCATTACTGCCCCTTAAATCCTTTTTCTACTCACCCCTCACAGGCAAGCTTTGCAACACCCCCCTACCAGATAGCCATCTTTATGAGCTTTTGGTTTATCTTTCTTGTCTCTTTGTGAGAAAAATAAGATTACATATTTTCATGGACCTTACACAAAAGGTAGCACGCTGCACGCACTTTTGTGCCCTTTAGTTGCAAAGCACATTTTGTAATCTGATCTCCGAGCACCGTGTCTCTGCTTTCTCCTGTGGGTGGGATGAGAGGGTGGGTGTGGCAATACAGACAGATCAGCAGAACCGTTTATTAACGGCAGGAAGTGCTCCTGCAGACACCAGTTTTTAGGGCTTCTCCATAAAATGAGGGGCTGAACTATTGCTCTTGGAGTCCCCTGCTGTCCAAGCAACCTAAATTACTCTCTTAGGAAGGGCTCAGTGCTGGCCAGCAATAACCCTTATGTCTCAGGAACTAAATTCCTATTTACTTCTGAACACCAGCAAAATTATTTTTGTAGTTGCAGAAGTTTTCAAGGGTATATTGAGGACCTGGAGCCTTGGGAGGGGAAAGCTGCAGGAAGGAAATGAGAAATAATTAACTGATCAAATGTGGTCCCACATTCCTTTAAGCAAATCCAAACTGCAAGTGGAGACTGACGGGAAAGCAAAATGAGGAAGCAAATGCTTATTTTGATCAAAGTCTTTTCTGTGGAAAAGCTTCACTTATAAGATCCTGTTCAACAGTACGTTTCTCTAGTGTATTGAGAATGATTCACTCTTCAACCTGCGTCACATTTTCCCTAGAAACATCCTTGTGCTTATTACACATCTATCTGTGGTATCTGAATATAGATCTTTTGAAAAAGATCATAGATCTGTTGCTGAGGGTTTTGGCAGCCCAAGCAGTGTGGAGAAAGTGTAGGGGAGACAAAAACTAACCAAAGCTTGTGAGCCCCTCCCCCAGGGCAATGAGAAGGAAATTCAGTATTTTTCTTTCCTCGCTGAGTCTGGAAGTTTCGGTATTTCAAGCTGGGTCGTAGTTATGGGTAGAAAGTACTGAAATGCAACAGCCTTACTTATATTAATTATAATACTAGATTGGAAATAAGATCACTTATCTGTTCTCAATGATTTATAAAACTTGAGTGACATTATCACCCAAGCAGAGTAATAAGCATTCCAATCAGGTTCCTGTTTTCCCTACATTTTCATAAATTCACTAATACTTAAACATTACCTATGAGAACCATAAAAACATTACCTATGAGAACATTTTCAAGTCTTTTTTTTAACAGATTAGGAATGTGTAGTAAATTTCCACTATAAAGTACTATTTTAAAAACAAGGTTTATTTACTGCATTATAAACTTAGCAGTACATGCAACCAGGTGGTGTCTGTATCTTTCCTCTACATGAGAAGCTACTTTCCGTATCCCGTTATTCTCGAGGCCACAGAAAGGGAAGGAGGTAGCTGTCTGCTGAGACCGAGGCTCTCCAGTGGATGCCAGAAGTCTGAGGGGAAGGCGTGACAGCTCCTGGAGACCACTGGGACTCACTGAGTCAGGGTCCCTGATCTCTGCTGAACCCTCACCACGGCTGGGGACGTGGGCAGGGCCTGGTCGTGCAGACAGAGCATGTGCATCCACAAAGCACAATGTGAGTACTGAAGTTCCATGTAAATCTAATTATTAGCATGAACCGAAGGTACTGTCATTGTTTAACTCATCTGACCTTTTAAATGGATAACCAACCTTGAGGCTTAATTGGATTTAAAAAAAATCAATTTCTAGCCATTGCGTAGTGTTGAAATGAAGCACCGCATTCTCAGGCAATTGTAAAATCAGTTTTGCTCGAGACTTTTTTATTATTTACAACTTTAAAATGACATCATCCATCTCAGTAAGTGTTTTATGTACACATATACCTTTTATAAACAACCACAAACCTACAGGTACATACATCAAGTCACGTCACAAAAGAATCATTCTTTTCTGTTCAGCACAGGCTGATTCAGCAGCAGCAGTCTCTTCACACCAATTACACCAACACTGAACGGGGATAATGACACACCACTGTTTGCAAATCTCTCGGAGCCACAGCCTGGTCTCATCTTTGTAATAAGAAAAAAATCCTTGAGGAAGCTTTTTACCAAATCACATCTTGACCATTAAATCTTTCTTGAGGAAGGTCATTTAATTTTATGGAAAGTAATGAACAATTAAAATGGCCTAAGCAGAAATAGCACTGGACTGGAAATGAGAAGGCTGATGATTCTAGTTCTAGCCCTGGGCTGCACTCGCTGGGTGACCTTGGCGGGCTCTGGTGCAGGCAGGTCTCAGTTTCACCATCTGGAAAAGGGGGGAGGTTTGCATGGAGAGAGACGTTCTCTGTTCCCCACAGCTGGTGAAAGCAGAGGTCTATTATGGTGCCCTGGGTCAGAACAAGTTAAAAACAACATTTGATTCCCTCAGCACTTAGTCTGAGAAAAGAGGCCGAATGATGCACACCGGAGCCCTTTGCCTCCATTACAACATCTATAAAATGAAAAAAATAGTGATTACTAATGGTGGAATTTGGATGATTAGCTAAAAGCAATTATAGAATTATAGTTGACAAACAGAAAATGCTAAACCCAGTCTTCTATTTTAGCTGAGCCCAATTTAAATGTGCATTGTGCTGAATGGAGCTTCATCTAAATGGTCCATTTTAGCCAGATTATGGAGCTAAAGTGGAGAACCACACAATTATCCTGAGCATTCAGCACAGTCCAGAGAGCTCATTTGGACAATTGGACAAATGATTATTTTCCTTTGCCTCAATTGACCAGATAATTGTGTACCAGTCTCTGCCATTTAGCTCTGTGGAATGTCTCTTTGTATAGTGAGAAAACCTGGCCACAGACTGGTACAAGGACATCTGTCTGAGGGTGGCATGGAGTTGGGGATGAGATGCACACAGTGGCATCTACTACCCAATTCTGAGTTCTAGATTGGAAACACATTGACATGAACCCAGTCTCTGTCCGCCACCCAGGGCCCACATTAGCTTGGCCGACACCCATCAACTGGAAGGGGGATGCTTTCCCTGTTTCAAAACACGGCCAAACACAAACAGCAGGCATAAGGTTAAAGGTAGCACCTGGGCAGTCAAGAGAATTTAGGGAGAAAGCCAGGCGATTTCCAGGGCCAGCACACACAGGGATGTACAACTCTAGGCATGCACTCAGATGCATCACAGCACTGACCTCTACAGTGTGGGTAACATCAAGTGTGTCAGGTCTGCCTTCCGAAAGCCTAGAAGAAATGAAAACTTACCATTTTTAATCAGTGAACCAACAACACTGAGAAGCAGGAATTCTTAGTGCTGTCCTGTCTTCCCTACACCCAACTAATCATCCTCCACCTCGACAAAAGTTCTCTCCTTATGGTCCACACGACTTGAACAGGGACCCTGACGACCAAAACCAAGCAGCATATGGAGTGGCATGCTACCCTGTCTTCCGCCCAACAGCGATGTTCTGGATTTTATCTGCACACTCCTGTGGCACCATTTCAAAACTGGGCCAGCAAAGTCTCCATTGGGAACATAACCAAAGCGGTTTCCATGCAAGAACCTGTATGTCCACGGGTTTTGGACACCTCCCCACAGTCCATCTGGATGGAGGACTTCTTCAATGTTATTACCAGTAGTCTGAATGCTCTTGAACCCTGTGACAGACATCTGCTGAGATGGCTGATGAGCATGTTGGGGGGAAATGTAATTTCTAGCCAAAGAATAAGGTGAGGGCACAAAAGGAAGAGGCCGTTTCTTCTGTGTGGTTTGTCAACAGGCTCTGAAGGTAATTGCCATGAGCAATGGCAGCATCTCAGGACTAAATGCCAGGCTTGCCAAGGACACTACCCGGAATGACAGCTCGCACAGACACCAGTGTCTGACTGAAGAAGTGCACACCCATCACAATCCACAGCCACATCTCCCACCAGGTGTACACATGTGTCAAGGTCAGGACTCTGTGACAGAGACTGTCCCAAGCCCTCAGGACCCTGGAGACAGGCTGGCTTTGGGCTCGATTGACAAACATTGTCCCTACAACTTTTGGTGTAACGGAATGGGGACACTCAGAGTCTTGTGGAAAGTCATGGGTCCTGGAGCGTGTACGTGAGAATTACTTCTGGCACACTACAGTTACACTTCAAGATTTCCATGTTCTCCTTGGTATGTACAGAAAGCACGTTTTCATAAGGAAAATAATTATCTGCCTTTTGGGCAGTTTCCCTATTTGTATTTGGACAGCAGATAGATCGGTCCCACTGGAAGCGTGCACTAGACAGATGGACTTGCAGACACTGAGGCAAAGGCCTCAGGCACACAATAAACAGTCCTGGGCCAGAAAGAGCACAGAATCTGTCAGGCTCTCCCTACTACAAATGCATCGGAAGAAAACATGGACCCATCGTTAAAATTAATACCAGGATCACAGGATGTTCTTTAATCTGCATGAATGCTTTATTGTACAAAAAGTTTCCAGTAGCAGTAAATTAATTTTTAAAAAAGGACAAAAGAAGTCATTTTGGATAGAAGCGCTTCACTAATTGCTTTATTTAAGCATATAAGAAAAAAAGTCTTATCTGACCAATTACGTTGAAGGGTTTTTATTACCTTTAAGAAGTCATTAGCTGGGATAAAACACTGCAAGCACTTGTGTCAAAACAAATAAATAATGCTCTCTCAATTAGCAGAGGAGGTAAATCCGTTAAATTAGAGATATACAGATTCACATGACATGGCCCAGCCAGCAACCCTCCCCCCCACAAAAGGAACAAAATGACAGACAGCAGTTTTACAGTGTTGGGAAAGATCAGGAGCTTTGCAAAACTGACATTAAAATTTCTGCTTTTCCTCCCAGCTCCACTCAACAGGAGTCAGCCAGGATACCGGGAAAGGAATGGGGCCCAGGGCTAGGCCCAGGTGCCCAGGGGAAGCCTTCTCCTGCAGGGCCTCTTCCTGGAGAGTGCTTCCCAGGCCAGCGGAGAGTCTGGCCTGGATGATTGTCACCCCCATGGCTCTGCAGGGACTAACGGGCACAACTATGGGCAGGTCAAGGACTCCATCTCCTTCAGAGGGAAAGAATTACCCTGAGGTACAGGACATGATTATCAATTTCCCTTACTTTCTCATATGCTACTGATCTTCCCCCAAGTACAGGCTCAAAAGAAAAATACAGTGGTTTAAGGACCCCAATAAGTCAGGCGTGGCTCTGGGGCCAGCTCCAGGCTGGCCCAAACATCTCCCACCCTGGGACACCAGTCACTGCAGCAGATAGATGGGGCTTTGCAGCACTGTACTAGCTTGAGACTGAAGAGGTCAGTTCCTCCACTCTCGCATGAGATTCTTACAACAATTTCTAATCAGGTCCATTATGTTACCCAAATGGGTTGTGGGGGAGGCAACCCAAATTACTCTATTTTGGGGAAATAAACATAAATAAGTGCTAATCCTTTCTTAATGAGTCAATGTCCTTCAAGAGTTGGTAGGAGTCAGCATTTTAAAAGCTTTTAACAATTATCCACCAAGGTCTCCATGGATTGTTCTCCAGGCAAGTTCCCTAATTCAAAGAGTCCCACTTAGAGGAGCAGCTGGTCTAAATGACTGTGCGCCGTGGGGTTAAAGTCAGCTGGGACTCTGCAGGTTTCGAGTCCTATTGTCCAGAGGAAGAGGGAGGAAATGACTCCCGATCCTTCTTTCCTAACCAGCGTCCACCAGGGAACGCCAGGCACACCTCTGGATTCTCAGTTCTCCAACCTGCAGCAGTGAGAAAACAGGAGGCTGCCTGGAGGTGGGCACGAGGTAGGAAGCCTGGGAAGGGGCTTGGGTGTTAAGACATGGTCTGTTTGGATGACTTGAGTGCACATCTCTGGAAGCCACTTCAAAAGCCATTCTTGAAGAGGCAATTCACGTGACTGGCCTAAATAAAATGTAACGCATTTAATGGGGTCATGCTCTTCTTAAATTTTTAAAGAGAAAAAGAAACAATGAAAAAGCCATCAAAACTTACACAAAAGCCACTAAAATTATACTGGTATCAATTAAAACAGGGCAAATAAAACACAAACGACTGAGTTTTCAAAGCTATCGTCACTTCCCACATGGCAGTTCCAAGATTATACTCCAGCACCATACACGTGATAATAGGTAGGTAAACGACAAAGTCCTGCTTTGGCGATCTGATCTGTGCTCACACAAGCAAAGGATTTCCCAATCAGATTGTCACAATCCTCAGGAGTGCGTCTACTTTCTGGGCACTGTTAAGTGGCAATGGAAGAACCAATAAATCAAATCACTGGTGGAATATTTTACTTTAAAATGGAGTGATGTTTGGTTAATAATTTGAGATCCAGCACTCCTAAATGGGGTGACCCATTTAAAATGGCCTCTGTGTAAATTCACAGCTCATTAAATGGAGTCTGGTTTGAATAGGTCATTACGTGGCTGGGGCTTAAGTAACAGGTGGAGTACGGAGGCTGGGGACAACCCGAGAGACACTTGCTCAATCTGGGGACTTTCACACCACTGTCAAGCTTCCTTTTAATGTGAGGTTGGTTCAAATCACCAACTTTTAAATTTAGATGGTTTTGCTGGGTAACCCCTTTTGGTATACAGTAGAAAATCCAGTGCAAAATTTTAAATGAGGAATACTCTATTTACAATTAATTTAAACTTACGAAGCTATTTTAACTGGCCCATCTATATATGTTAATTAACATCATGATGGTTTCTTATTTTTCACACTTTGTTACTCTGTTAACCGTGATGGAAAAGCTAAATTAAGTTAATGGGGAACGGATTATAAATTCTTAAAGGACTTCTTAGTTTGTTTTCAACTGGAAAATATATAAAGATGAAGAGGCATTTTTGCCTCTACTCATAAATTTTTGGTACCAAATTTCTTAAAAACCAAATGGTTTAAAAAATTTTTTCCAAAAATTATTTTAACATGCTGCTCAGACATAACTGCTAAAAAAATAGCATATACACATAGAACACTGAACAGCTTCAGCAGTGCCTGTAAACTTTCAACTCATTTTCACTTTCTAAAAAATATATATTTTATAACTGATCACAGAAGAAACCTCTGTTATGCAACAGCATCAAAGGCCCTTAAAGACTCGACAGTGATGGCAAACAAAAGTAAAGGCCCCTTCCCCTCGCTTGAGCACGCCGGAGGAGAGGAATCTGCCGGAGGCCCAGGGCCCACGAGCCCGCCAGCTGCACCTCTGCGCAGCTACGGATGCACGCTGAGCCCCCACACCGGGACGTCCACGAGGTGGCAACAGGAACCAAAGGCCACTAGCGAGACTTCACACCGACAAGGACAACAATGAGGATAATGATGATGACAAACAGCATTAAAATCACAAGCATCTTCCGATTCTTCTTTTGGTACTGCTCTGCCTACAGAAAGAGGAGAAAGGCAGTCATTTCCCAGAAGCCCAGGCCGGCCTCCTGCCTGTTTCCTGGCAAGGCTTCTGGCTCTTCTGCACAGTGAGTGGTGTCCCTGCAGTCCCGGCCAGTCAGGGAAGGGCTCCGTGACCCTGGCGCTCCTTATGTACCTGGACTTGGGGAAACACCACTTCAGAATCTACCGCTGGGGCAAAGGCTGGCGGAGACGCTATGGACCCCGCTCTTCAGCCTCTGCTGCCTCGCTTCTCTCCACTGCAGCTTCCCTGGCTGCCAGGCAGAGCCCCCACGTCTGGAAACGCGCATGCTCCAGCCCTGCGAAAGGCGACAGCTGGCTGCGGTTACCACAACCAGGAATATGGAGCTGACGGCCAGAGAGGCCCACGTGTTACTCCCTGAACTTGATGGCAAACAAAAAGCTCATCCTTTGAACTAGAAATGGGGACGTGTGCCCCATGGATCTGCGGACACAGCCCAGCTGAGGTGCATCCTCCCTGAGCTAACGATGACACAATGGCGGTGGGGCCTGAAGCTCAACTTGGGGGTGAGGCCCGCCCGCCACACCTCTTCCCTAAATACCTCACGCTGAAGTGCCAGCTACACCACCCAGCCTGGGATGCAGAAGCCCCAACATGCCCAGGGTTGCTGGTAACAGATAGAGACCCCTGAGCAAGGAGACCGGAGGGCAGGAGAGCTGGGAGGGGTCCCAAGCCCAGAGGCAGAGGGTGGCCCACCCTCCCAAGACACTGGCAGGACGGGTGGGGAGAAAACCACCAGGTAAGAATTCAGTCCCGTCCCACCTCTGAGGCGAGGGTGCCCACCCGATGCCTGGAGGAACCCCTCCTCAACTGGGAGGAAACAGCCGAAGGAGGAGGCCACCTCAAGAGCATAGCCAGTGGGAGCGACTCCCATGGCTCAAGCATCCTCAGAGAAGCTCATCAACAACCAAGGACGGCCAGCTGTGCTACCGATGCCGGCATGGGTCTGAGAAGATGGAATACACCTTCCTCCCTAGTAAACAACCGGGCACTGGGGAAGCCACACCAAATAACTCGCTTGGAAACCTCTCCGATTTATACAGTACAACTTAAAACAAAATTTCTACTTCCTACGAGATTTGTTCACTTCTGCAGAGAAGTCTTTCCTCTTTGTCTGTGCTATAATAGAAAAACATGTTTCACTCGTTTTTATTTAAGAAACTTCAAAACCCATGCATAATTCAGCAGCACATCAAAACCTGGGTATTACAGAGTGAGAACCTAAAGTTAGCTTCCATTTTTAATAAACACAGCTTGGTGACCAAGTCAGTCTAAATGCGTAAACAGCCCCTGCAGATCTAAGGCCAGATTTCTCCACATCATGTGCTGCTCTCATTTCTACTCCCACCGGGCAACGGCACACCGAAGACAGCTAAGGACTTCCAGTTAGACTGTGCAAGGCTGGGTTCTGAAAGCCCGAAGCTGCTGTTAGGGACAATCTCTGCTCCGGAAGTGACTAGTTTCAGAAGAATAACGGCATAATATGTCAGTGAACTGGAAAGGTGTTCTTACTTGGCTAGAAATACCAGTGAATCTCAACGACACAAGGAAACAAATAGAATTTATTTTATCTGTGAGGTATTGTTATATTCCTTTTAAAGAAAATATGTGCCCAATTATACACCAGCACACAGCAGCTGTGTGTGTTTCTCATAACCGATGATGAGAAGATGCTTTCCACTGTTTTTTTCTTAAGAGAAGGAAATTAACAAGTAATATGAAAACAACCTGATATAGGCACCTCATTAGCAAAGAATGAGAGCCCCACTACTTCATTTCCACAAACTTCTCTTTTCTCAAGGTAACACACAGATATGATGTGGTAATTAAAGGGAACATTAGATGTTCATCATCTCCAGAATGACTCTACCAGCAATTCATCAGAAGGGCATCGCAACAAGCAAAGTCTGAGTCAGCAGCAACAAGCATACAGATTGCTCAACACATATTTTAGCAAATACCCATTCAGTTGATTCCCCCAAACAAGAAGTCTCAGAAGGGATGAAAAGAGGAAAACTCCAGTCCTTTTAGAAGTTACTGTCACAGAATGGAGTTCTCAGCAACATCTGATCTCAGGAGCAAGGCACACGTGGAAAGGTAAACTCCAGTAAAATGGTAACAACCCACACAGTCAACCTTAAATGAAATGATGGTGTACATTTTACACAACTGCACTGATAGCCAACCATAAAGACAAATGCTTAAGAGTTATGCCAGAAGAGAATCCTCTTATGAATTCTTGAGATCTGATAATAGTTCCTAAAATTCTCAGCCAGAGAAAGATGTTATTACCTTGTGAAGCTGTTTCAAGCCATCTTCAGTTTTGATACAGGACTGTTCAACGTTATAGTCAATTCTATCAAGGACCGTTCCCTGAGTAATAAATGACAGTTACAAGTGATCAACAACTGCAACGAGGGAAAGTGAAGTTCAAACACGAGATGTGCAAATTACAGACATCATCTGCCATAAGATAGCAATTCACCCAATGTGTGATGAAGGCACACAGTGGGAACTCTGGGATCCACCCTCAAGCAGTGTGAGGTACTTGGTGGCAGAGTGCTAGGTTAGTTGCAATAAAGTCTAGCTCATGAGAAATACTGACAAACTGAGGTTCCTTTCTTGGGTTTAGCCACTATAGGATGTGCCATCTTCAGACTTACTGGGGCTTAAAAGAGTATATGGTTCAGTGGACCTAGGCTCTGCCCAGCAAAAGGCCAGCTTGGATGTCCACCTGGGGCTTAAATATTGGATTCAAGTAAGCAGAGAATGCCAGTTAAGCTCAATCCAGGGGTAATTAGGCTGCAAACTGATTGTCACATCTATAAACCTGACAGTGGTTCTCCATGGGGCACAGCAGAGCATGGAAAGCTCCAATCCACCATCCAAAATTAAAACTCTGGCCCTCAAGGGGAAGTTTTAAAAACCACTTAATCTCTTGGCTCTTACAGGAAGAAGGGGCCACTGAGCTGCATATGAGGATAGGGCTCTTGTTGAAAACATGCTGGGTCAGGAGAGATAGCAGTTCACAGGGAGACAGGACACAGGAGTAATTAATGTAACTGGATCTTGCCTAGCCTGAACACTCCATTCTGCAGTTGGTTTCTGGGGGATCAGGACCCAAATCCCTGCTGGCAAGATAATAAAATACCCTCATCAGATTTTAACAGTGAACAACAATTTAATTGTACTTGAAAGCTAGTGGTTCCAATGGCCATTACACAATAACCTGCCAAAATTAGAAAGGAAATCTTATCTATTGCCAGAATCAGTGCTGGGCTCGGTCAGAATCATGCAGGCCCCCACAGCAGGGTGCTCACATGAGTACCTTGGGGCAGGGCAGAGTATTAGAACTTCGGTTTCTCTTTGGGTTTACTAATATTTTTACAGGGAATGACAGTAGTCTATACCATTTGTAATATACATGTACTATGTACACACACAGGTTCAAATTTTTTCCTGACAAATACACAATCGAAGGATTTTGGAGAAGGAACACACTGATGGGGTGGACAACCCACATACCTGCTCTACAATCATGGCTCCTAAGTCCCTAAAGATTTCATTCAGGTCAGAAATGGACTGCGCAATCTGGAGGATCTCGCGCGCTCTCTCCTCCACCATCAGTGTATTCTGCTCCACCAACACCAGCTGGTCATCCGTGAAGCCCTAGCAAGACAACAGTGCAAAATTTCCCCCTTAGGAAACTTACGTTGTGCCACTTCAGGTGTAATTCAAAGAAAATGAACTTATAGAAAATATATCTATAAAACACATGACAATAAATAAGCATTTATTTTTCCCTAATAGGAAAGATCCAAATTCCCCAAAGCACTGTGGCCATAGCAAGGGACACAAGAGAAGCTCAGCATGCAGCCACGCAAGGGCTCTGGGATGGCCCTGTGCTTCTCTGTGTTCTTCTGAGAAAGGGGTAAATGCTGCTTTCCTGAAGGCTCTGGAAAGCAGGTCACAAGGTCTCCTGTGGGCTTTTGGAAAGGAAGAAACAGTATGGCTGTTCTTCTGCCTGCTGCAAAGATCCCTTGATGGGCGCCCAAGTCCAACAGTGCTGCTCCATTTGCACTGCACGGGGGTTAGAGGTCTAGAAATGGGAAGAAACAGAACAAAGTGCAAATGTACAGCAGTCATTCCTTCGCCCCTCACGTACCCGAGCATACAGAGTATTATCGTCTCCATCATCCATTAGTGGTACTGATGTATCAAAAAAATGCTGGGATCTTTCCTCTCGATTCTTCACGCCTATCACAGATAGGAATCCACTTTACTTGAATATGTAAACCGTCCTGGTTACCGTTTCACCATGAAAAAGCGGAAATCTAGAGTAAAGCTCAGCAGTCAAAGTGGGGATCTCCTTATAGCTTTAAAGAAGCCCATCTTCAGTGGGGTGAGGGAGAATAAAGCATTAAAACACACACCATGCAAGTGTGGGGGTTATTCAACACAAAGTCACCATCTAAATGTGCAAAATTCACCTGATGCCAAAACAAAAATGACATGATCATCTCAGAATCTCTAAGTGAAAACAGAAATAGTTACTCTAACTGCTGTCACAAAATATGAACAACAACACCGGTATTTCTCTCCGGGAGCATCTCTAGTAAAAACTCCAAATGAGCCTAATCAAATTTCAGAAGAAATGAAATTAAAACACAAATATGCCCCTTGTCAGTACCAGAAAGATGGGGGGGGGCACATAGATTAGGGGACTTCATTGATTCCAATGGCAACAAAGCAAACCCGTGACTACAGGGCAAGTAGAATGAGCACAGAGCTGGCTTCAAACTGCTCGGAAGAAAGGGTGTGCTCAGGGGACTGGTGACAAGGGCAGGGGTTTTAGAAACTACTCTCAAATGCTCTAGTTGCTATCCAGATATGTGGCTTTATGCTGTGGTGACTGTCTACCTATTTAGGAGCAGCTCCCTAGCCTCAACATCTAGAAAACAAGTTTTGAAAATGTGCTCGATTGCTTTTCAAATTCTGGCTTGGTTCTGAACTACCCTGTGGTGCCCGGAGCTGGGCCTTCATTCCCTGCTCATTCCCTGCGGAGCCCGCGAGGGGAGGGGCCTCCTTTTGTCAGATAAGGCGTGAATGTGATCAAAGGTGGTGAAACATTTACAAGAAGGAAGCAAAAAACCCACAACAAACCAAAAAGTAGCTCTTCCCTACTCAAAGATCCCTTCAGTAGGGCTGGGCAGCACTCACGCTTGAGGTAGCCGGATTGTGCGTGCCGGAAGCTGGTGGACAGCTCCTGCAGGGTCTGTGCCAGGGAGGCCACCACGTTGCGCAGCAGTCGCTCCTCCTGCTCGGAGCAGGCCCTCCGGGCCCTGCTCGGCAGGGCCTGCACTGCACGCTGACACCTGTGGAAGAGCTGAGAGCACAGGAGCCCTCAGGGCTCAGGTGAGCAGGGGACGGAGGTGCCACCCCAGCCTCGGCCGCTCTCCCACGAGCAAAAGAGAGGGGATGTCTGTGTGTTAGCTCCCGTGGGGAGAAGGAAGCGAGTAAAGAAACCAGGCTCCCTTCACACACGCAGATACTTTCGCTGTACTGCAGCTTCCCTTTGCACAGCGTCTGCCGGGCGCCCCACACATCACCCTCTCCCAGCAAGCTCAGTGGGAGGCAGGTCCAAGTTTATCTTATGCCCATTTTTAAGGATGAGAATGCTGGAGTCAGAGGGGTGAAAAGAGAGGAACCATGCGAAGAAGCAGGGTTCACACAAGAGATGCTCTTCCTCTGACAATCAGCACCCTGGAGATCTAAACAAACACCAACGTCCACACTGAAGCTAAACACCAGTCTCATCCAGGCCCAGACGATACTAAGTTTCTTTTCAATTATGAGAACTGTATTTTCGTGTAAAATTTGTAAGCACTAGTGTTTAACAGAAGTCACATGGTTTTAAATGAAATGACTGAATTCAGGAGTATTCTGAGCTCAACTTTTATTTAAGCAGCCCAGAGTAGCATCTGCCCACAAACCAGCCACGGAAAAATAGTGCCCCGCCTCCAAGACGTCACACACACACGCTGCTGCACCTGGTGGGCCTCTCGGCCTCCAGGAGCCCGGCTGAGAACTTCCGGCTGGGAAGCGGAAATCTAGGAAGCTGCCTGCCAGCTGCGTTAGAATGGCGGCACTTCGTGGCTTCTGGGGTGGCCGCCCCTTCCCCGGAACCAGTCCTCCCCCTCACCTGTGTGACCTCCTGAGTGGTTATTTCAATGGCATGCTCCTCCTCACTGCTGTCATCCAGGGTGGGTCTGTTTAAATGCTTGTCGTGAAGGCTGGCTAACTCCTTCATCTTCTGTTTAATCCGGCCAACATCATATTGTATCTAAACAAATGAAGTCACCAGAACTCCACTGACGCCTGGCAGGTATCTGTCTGCCTCAAAGACAATTAGCTACACTCAGAATACAGAGCTGGGTCTGCAGGGAACCCTGATGGCTTCCTGATATGTGAGCAAATTTTAATTTAAATTACCAGAAAATTTTTATAAAATCCCTACTTTATTGTAGTTTAATTTCTATAATTCAAGAAGTTACTACCAATGTTAAAACTAAGGCCAAAATCATTAACATACACAAAACCTTTTCTTATGTTAGGTAAAATGAATAAACCCAAAGGTTAAGTACTTCTAGATATATACCCTCTAGCCAAATTAGTTTATATTGCAGATATATTGAAATATGTTGCCATTATCACATAAAAAACAAAACCGTGAAACTAACATTCAACTTACTTCATCCACTCCATCCACCCATTTTGGAGGTGACCGTTTTGTTACACCGATGGCTGCTTCTGGATCTAAGCTAATGCCCGATACCAGTGCCATACGGTCATCGGCAAGCTACAGAAAAATACACGAACATTAAAAGGGTTATTTGGATTCAGCATAGAAAAAGATACTCTTACCTCCTTTCAACTGTTATTCCCTAAGAGGATATAGGATGCAAGAATAAAGGGATTTGCTTTCATACAGCTAGGATTTGGATTGTTTCTATCTCTTTATACACCAGTTCTTAATTTCCTTGGACATATCCTTGTGAGCACGAATCTGACTTCATCTGGTTACAGAAATGTAATGAAAAGGTCAACAGAAGATGCTTAAAAGAAAGACCTCTTAGAACTGGAACTATGATAGAAGGCATGAACCTCAGCAATTAATGTGATAAGAAACAAGTAAAAGCAAATAACTAGGCTACAAATGGAACTGATAGAACATTTTTGATAGTAGCAAGGTTTACTGACATTCACTTAGCTAGTTTTAGAAATGCTGATCCAGTTACCTTGGTCCTGAGATCACTGACTACATGTTAACAAACGTGTGTGAAGGAACTGCCTGAACCAGTGGGCAAAGCCCCCATGGGGCAAGAGCAACCCTTAAAATCTCACCTTGACCCCAAGGCCGTCATTTCTTTCCTCACTTGGCTGGCCACCAGCAACATCGTCCCTTGCTTTGAAATGATACTGCAAGTTCGCTCCCCCCATCCCCTGCTTAACTGTGTAATACACTGCCTTAGCAAGCTTTCAAAAGAATCCAAGGGAAATTGCAGTTTTACATGATTTGCTTTTGCCTGGAGGCTATGAATGGGCTGACAGCATCTTGAGGGAGCCTCAGGAACACAAGGCTATTTTTTTCTTTTTCTTTCTTTTTTCAGTGCTGGGGTTTGAACCCAGGGCCTTAGCATTAAGCTCTAGCCCCAGTGCTTGTTTTTGTTCTGTTTGGGTTTGAGACAGGGTCTTGCCAACTTTCTAAATTGCCCAGGCTGGCCTGGAACTTGAAATCCTCCTGCCTAGGCTTCGCATAATGCTAGAATTACAGGTGTGAGCCACCATGCCTGGGTCCAGAACTCAGAATTTATTTATTTATTTATTTTGGTACTGGGGATCAAACTCGGGACCTTGTACTTGCAGGGCAGGCGCCGGGGTAGAGCTCAGAATTTTTAAAGGGTAGTTTCAAAAGATCCGAATGATAATCAAAATATAATGGTAAACAATCTATAAAAGTCCTCTACAGATAATACTTTGTACTGTTCTATAAAACTGGGTGAGGAATTTGTATTGCTTTTTCTTCTTCCCTGCAACTACATAAATTTATTTTTTTATTAATTTGGTAAATACTTGCTTACCAAACAATAAAGGAACAGGTAAAATTCAAAAACCCACAGATGAAGGGGAAAAAATAGCACATAAGCCTCCCTCTGCTCTCAGCCCCGTGTGCCTGGGGGTGCCCAGGCCACTCAGGGGCGCACCTGCCACATAACCACTGCCTGAGCCCCTGGGCGCTGGGATTAAGGCCACCAGAGCCCACCACCAAGGCTGGTCAGCCAGTGGGGCCCAGTGTCACTTCTGTCCGGAACAGAACCATCAACACCTGCACTGCTTGCAGCTCTGCATCCCTGAAGTGGAATTCTCACCCTCCACTCTACCTTTTGTTTGTTTTTAAGTAAGAGTTCACTAATAGGAATTTTAAATTCTTATCTTAATCCTCACAAAAACTAGGTGAGCTAGGAATTATGATTCCACTATACAAATACAGAAACTGAAACCGAGAGGTTAAGTAGCTTGCCTGAGGCCACTAAGCTCTGAGGTGAAAGCAGATGAAAACCCGGGTCGGTGGGCTCCAGGAGCCCCTTCCACCCTGCAGCTGTCAATCACTCTGGGAGGCCCATGAAATATAACTGCAATTTGCTAAGAAAATGAATCAAGACAAACCATCAGATTAGAACAGCAACAAAACCCAGTACTCTGATTAATTCCCCACCAACTGCACAGGGACCATAGGATAGGCCCCCAGCGGGCACGTAAGCGTCAATAAACTTGGCCTACGTGCCGTGCAGCGCGGGGCCATCTGCAGAGCAGGCGGAATAGGGAGGGCGGGGGACTGCCGCCAGACACTTAAGAGGCAGAGCTCTATTCCCCCCTAGTCCTGCTCCGAAGTCAAGCGGTACCCAGTTCTGTGCAGGGCACGCTGACCACGGGGGAGGAGAAGCCACGTGGCCAGTGCCCGCCCGGCAAGCGCCCCGCTACGGTGCGCTGGACTGAGGTACTGCCCTGGGCGTGCGGAGATCCGACTGTTTATACAAAGCAAACCCTAAAACCTCCTAGTTACCCGCGATGAATCACAGAACTTCCACAATGCCAGTTCATTATCTAATCCACCAGGTTCTATTATACTGTTTTTCAGTAGAATAATGACTTGTTTTATTTATAGTGACTTTATCTCTAAGTTCATGAACAAAATAAATCTTACTGTTTTTGCTGTTTACAAAAACGTATTAAACTAAAAAGGAGACATAGAAAATGATACAGCTCTATCTAAATTTACCTACACTGTGACTAGCATCATTTTATTCAAAACAACGTACAAATTATAAACCACAGATGAATAGCCAACTGAGGTGGATTCAACTCTTTCAAATAGTACTTTATTTTATTTTATATATACATTTTATATATTTGTTTTATACATGTTCCCAAAAATTAGATATAAATCTAAACTGGGGACAAAGCTCTTCTAGGGGTCCCAAGGAGGCCACTAATGAGGGGACGCTCCAGGACGTGAGCTTTCATACACTACCCTCCTCGGGTTTTGCCTCTGCGAGAGAACCGCTGGTTCTTGAGGACTGCAAACTTTGAACAGCAAATAATTTGTCCCCTTTATGATAGACCCTACAGCCATAGCTCATCATGCTAGAAGTGCTGCTCTCCTCAGAAATGTCATTTCTCTTATTGATAGTGACTTATAATGTGTATCACAGTATGTATGAAAAAAGAAGGCAGCATGTTTCGAGAAGGGAAAACAATGGAAGCAAATATGAACATAAAAATACATGTTAAGTGCAAAATAATCATCCTTTCAACTTCCAGAACCTCACTTCCCACTTAAAAACATGTTTTCTTATTTGGTAAGGACCCAGCACATATGTAAATTTTCAAGTTGTCATCCTATTCCATACAGACCTTAAACAATTGCCAGATTTATGATTTTCTTCCCTAATGTCAACTCAATCCCCTCTCCAAAAATATATTGGCTGTTAACTTTTTCTTAAACATACTTTTGAAGGTTAAAAAAAAAAATCTTTCCACATCTTTTAAATAAGAAAAAGAATGTTATAAAAGCTACCCTTAGCAGAATGAAAACTTGAAGATTTCTTGTGTCCTTGACTTGTAGCTTGGCCCTCCAAGATAGCCCAGAGTCACCTTCCTGTGGGAAATGCAGAAGAGCTCCCATGGAGCCTCACTACAGCTCACTCCAAAGGCTTTCGTGCTGTTCTCACTCACCTGGACTCTGGCTCTTGGCTCATTTCGGATGTGGACATCTGTCCCTTCTAAAGTACCACAGTGTAACCTTACCCTGAGGAAGGGACATACATACAATGCCCTCTCCTACCAATCCGGCTGTCCCAAATGTATAGCCTTCTACTCTTACGACATCTTGCCCTTACGTGTAGGCTAATTTCATGTGCTTAAGATCTGGAAACCATCGGCATCTCCGTAGAGACTGGGAAGTCAGGCACGCTTTCTCTCTGTCTAAAAAGCTCAGCCAAGTTCAGCCCTATGCCCTGGAATGAGGACAATACTGACACTTCTGCACTGTCGGTCAGGGAGCATTTAAGAAGTCCTGAAGGGACAGTGAAAACTGCAGTGCGGCGACTTTCACCGCTATGGGGGTCCCAAGTGACAAGGCCAAAGGACGAGCACAGCACCCCGCACCCAAACACTCACCCCCTGTGCACAGACGGGGGCTCAAGAAACCTGAGCTCTTGGAGGAGAGGATAAACGGCAGATGAGAGGGAATCGGGCAATGTCAGCCCTGTATCTTTTTAAACTGTGATCAAAATACTTGCCACTTCTGATTAGGAAATTATTAAAAATACTTCAAACTACAAAAATTACAGAAATAAAAAACCCTGAGAATCATGCCACTTACCACCCTGACATTAATGTTGCTAGCTTCACTGACTTTTCTTTCCTCTAAACTAATACACCAACAAAAGAAGAAAAGGTCAACAATGGGCCATGCCAGTACTGTGCTGATCACTCCTATGGACTCGGTCTGCTTCAGAAGAGGGGCTCCCGTTTTCACAAGTGTGGGCTTGGGGCTTGCTCAGCGGTACCCAGCGTGACCAGTGGGGTGGACCCAGCTGTTTACCACATCACCCTGCCCTCCCCAGCTGTGTAGTTTTGGAGCCTGACATTTACATCTTGTGGTTCCTTTAAAAAATAGTTTCCACTTTGAATCTTAAAAACTAACAGCTTGGGAGTTTGTTACAGGAGAGGTCGCCTCCTCCTCAGGGGACACTTTACTCTCCTCAGCATTTTCTGAGGGTGAGAGGTCGTCTCCAGCATGCAGGTGAGCACCAGCTGGCACAGGTGGTCTGCGGGGGGCCCTGGGTGAGCAGGAGCCACCAGGCACGTGACTTTCTCCAGGAGCCTAAATAACGGGGTGTTTCCCATGCCCAGAAAACACCACTGTGAGCCCTGCACCGGCCTAGTGAAGCCAGCCTCGGGACACCATGCCCAAGCACATCCCCAGCTCCTGGGTCAGCACTGGGGACATCACAAGAATAAGTCCACAATTACAGTTAGCTGAGTGTGTCAACACTCAAGTGGATGGAATGAATGAATGAGGTAACTAACACATGACATGTACAATTCAGGAAGCTACACTCAGGAACAAGGGAACTGTGTGAAGGGATGGGGTAGCTGTGAGCATCCACACAGAAGGCTGGATTTCCACCCGTGTGAGCTGACAGGGGCTCTTCCCTGGGTCTCTGGTCAGAGCAGGAGATCCCCCTTAAACACTCAGAGTCTGAGCCTAAGAAAAGCAGAAGGGCCTGCTGGCTTGTATGGTACGTGGGCAGTTTCTAGAACTTGCCACTTGAAGAAGTGGGAAAGACTAGAATGGGACCAAAAAGTGACCCTCACTTAGGCCATGAGGACCACTTCCATGCCCTCTCCCCTGCAACCTTGTCTCTTCATGGTAAGTCCTTCTAGTGTCTGCTCTTTCCCCTCATCATACACTGCCTTTTGGGGGAGAGGGGAGTCATAACTTCTAAATTTGTAAAATGCTTGGTAAAGACCAACATCTATGCTCACATCCACCTTTAAGCTGCCTGTGTCCTATGCCAGCTTGGTCAACACATCTGTTGGTGCCCACTGAGCTCGAGATGCTTAGCTCCACTGTGCGTGAGCCAGAGTGAACTCACACCTTCAGGCCCCATGCCCAGGCTCGGTGCTGGCAACCAGACGCCTGAATGGGGCTGAAGTTCCCACGCCGGCCTGACTGCCCACCACCTGCTCAGTGAGCTGCTGGCTGAGGTTGTGTTTCTGTGACAAAAGTAATCAATGCACATGGTTACAAATATATTTTCACCCTAAGAAAAAGTTTGCCATAGAAAGGAAGTTCTCTTAATATCCTAGACTTTTCTTGGGAAGTATCCACTGTTACTGGTTTCTTGAGTATCTTTTTAGAATCTTTTAAGGCACACACAAGGATAAATATTACTTGGGGGGCAGGAATCACATCACCCCATTATGCATTTAGCTTCCTTCCCACTTGGCCATGTGCCTGGAAGCTCATATTATGCAGTCTTCATAGACAGGCTTCATTCTAACCATTACAAGGGCACAGACTATGTAATTTATTTGTTTGTGACAGGGTCTGGCTATGTAGTTCAGGCTGGTCTTGAACTCACTATGTAGTCCAGGTTTGCCTTAAACTTGCATGGATCCTTCTGCCTCAGCCACCCATGTGCTGGGATTACAGGTGTGTGCCACCTTGCCCGGCTATGTAATTTATTTAATTGGTTCCTAGTGAAGAATATTTAAGTTGTGCTCCAGTCTATTGCTGTTATCAACTAGTTTAGGGGTTTGTTTTTTTTTTGGGTACCGGGGATAGAACTTGGGACCTAGTGCTTTGGAGGCAGGTGGTGGAACCACTGAGCTAAATCCCCAGCCCCTAGTTTAGGTTCTTTTACAGGTGGATCTAATTTGCTAATTAGGAGCTCGGAGGTTTTGAAGGCAGTGATCCTAATCCTGCCTTATTGTACAAACTGATAAATTAAAACAAGGAACCTTCTCCTCAGGAAAAAGACTGTTGCCTCTTCACGGCTAATATGGACATCAGACACACAGACAGGAACAACCGCAGTTTCCTCGCAGATGTCCTCTGCCCTTTTGGGTGGGCTGCCAACATAAGCACTAGGCAGGCATCCTCTGCGCTTCGGGTGAGACCCTGCTGAGCGGTGAGAACACAGGTGTGCGGCCAGGCAGGAGGAAGCTGCTCTCTGGAATGAGGGGCTCCAGAGACCCCAGCCTCCTCTCCATCGCAGGCTCCGTTGTCCTCCTCGGGGGCTCCGGACACGCCACCTTCGCTTCACCTGAGCTGCTGCACTGCACCCCTTCAGAACTCGGGGGGGCCACTGACACAATCCCATGGCAAGCAGCTGGCGTGTTCAGAAGAATGCTCAGCTTCGACTGCTCCCAAAATGGAGACATTTCCCGAGAGCAGTGAATAATGCTCTTAAATCTTTCTAAATGGTCAGTTCACATGGTGTGAGGATGCACTAAACAAATTCTAAGTACCACATTGTTAAACACGTTATAAAGTGATCAAAACAAACGCTAAGATATGTATAACCTCCATTACCATTTTACATATGACCAGAGACTGGAGAAACAGGGATCTTATAAACTAACATTCCCTAACATAAAAATATGCAAAGCACAGTACCTCGTCCAGCTCCTGTGGATGTGTAGTTGCCATCAGGCCGTCCAGGTAGGGAGAGCAGGAAGGGAAGCATGTGCAGACAGACAGACAAGGCACCATCAGGTGAGAAAACAGGTGTTTAGCAGCTCTTAACTAAAAACAAAGATCCACTAGCCAAGGCATTTCAAAATTTCCCCTTCTCGTCCTCCCTTTCTTAAAAAAAAAAAAAGCTACATCAATATATATTTTTATTTACTGTGATGGTTGTTTTAGTAAATGAGGTAAGAAACAGCAATAAATAGTTGTAAAAATTAAAACATATTGGAAACAAAATAAACTTGTTTTGGTTTCACTAAAGTATATTGCAAACCTGTTTCATAAATAACAAATATCACATACAATACTCAACATTCTAAATTTCTTTCAGAAAAGAACAAGCTAAAATGTAATGCCACTATGTCAAATAAATGCATATTTAAACATGTAAGTCAGCCCTGCAAATGCAGCACAATTACAAAATGAACAACCCACAAAATTGTCTATGGCTGCACCGAGGTAGTATTTGAGTGACCACGTATGTAAGAGCCCTACAAATTAAATCCCGCAGACGCAGCTTTGCCCACAGCGAGACAGCTGGAAAACCGCTGTCTCCCAGAGAGACACAGGTGGGAAAATTAAAGAAAAACTCTTACCATTTGCTTGGCATGTAATACTATTAGTCTAAAAAACACACAGTTATTTATAAAGCTATTATAAAAGCAAGCAAACCAGACAACAAAAGGTTAAGGAAAGACGAAGGAAAACAGGCACCCGAGGGTTAAGTTTCAATTGAAAACTAAAGATTCTTTTTTAGATGAAGGTAGAACTCTATTTTCTGAACAGTTACTAATGACAGATAATTTAAACTAGGAGCCTTTTTTTTTACAGTATTGATCACAAAAATAATTAGTGGTGAATTTCAATAATCAACTGTTTTTTATGTTTAGCCATAAATTTAGAGCATAAAAAAAGCAACTTTCTTATTTAAAAATTAGTGCAAATGAAGCTGGTCTATCAGAGCCAAAATATTATTGCACAATGATTAACAATAAAATATAATCAAACAACACTCTCCGTGTAATACTTCAATTAGGTGATATTATAGAATGCTGAAAACCCTCCTCACCCCTACAGCTGCTGAGCAAAGAACTACTTCTACACACATGCTGCCGTGATGTGACGGTAGTGCTTGGACATTGATAGAGAAGATGGGGTCAATGGCTGATCTCATTACCTTTTACTTTAAACAGGAAAAATGTTTGTACTTTCTAAAGGCTTAACATTTCCATAAAGAGAACCTGGACATCTTTAATCAATAAAACCAAACGCAAGGTAACCCCCTACCCCCACCCCTGCACAGCAGCGGCCTCTTCCCGTTCTATAGAGGCTCCCTGGTACTAACCTCTGCACAAACCATCACTACAGACCACAGTCAGAACCTCTGCTGCGAGCCTGTGCTGCTGGATTATTACCCGAGCGCAGGCATCCTGATCTTTGGATTTCTACGATTACCGGATGATAAGAGGCAAAATTGGATCCCTGAGATTCTAGGGCTAGAAGCAACTCTTTTCTTACAAATAAGAAAACTAACCTTCAAAATGTATACACACATGCCCTCAAGTCACACAGCTTGTTAATGGTTAACAGGGGACAGCCCCAGGTGTCCAGGCCTCTTACCACCCTGCTCTGAAGCTCCCTAATTTTATTAACAATTCTGAGAATTACTTGTGAAGGACAGCTCCCATACCATATCCAGAATTAAATTCAGGCCATCTTTCCAAAGAACCCCTTGGTCCCCTATTTGGGTGCTTAAAAACAGAAAGCTTTCAAAACTCCCCCTGTCCCCAAATTACCAGTAAATTTAGTCAAGATCTGAATTAAAATATTTAGAATTACCATCCGGAAAGACCAAAATACAGTGGAATGAAAACACATTTACTGCACATCATCACCTTCTAAATCTTTATAATGTTTAAATCTAGGTTTTTGACCTGCCAATGGTATGAAATCAAGCAAATACTGAAAACTCCAAGTAGCATGTAGGAATTAGAATCTAAAGAACTTTCTACATAAAACTGAAAAGGAAGTGGAAACCCATCTGTGTTTACTCAGCAAGTCTGGAAAAGTTGACCGAAATGAGTTGGAAATACAGGTCTATGCTATAGTGATATTTACTTTATTTCTGTTACTGCCAAAATAAAAGTTTGCTTCACTTTTATCCAACAAAGTATCCTTATTCTCAAGTAACTCTCACTGCTCAAATGGAATCTTTAAAAGCAGAAAAGCAAATAGATCTAAAGAGAAATGTACAATGATTTCATACTTGGATTCTAAAGACAGAGAACTGATTTTCCAACAGTCTCAGCCTGACCTAAAACTTGAGAATTTTTGATGGGCAAGTTAAAATTGTCTGCGGAAGGCTGTAAAGAGAGATAAAGATGCTCCTCTATTGCTAGAAAAATAAAATGCATTTTAATATTAAGTCCTTCCATTTTCCAGGAGCTACAGCCCAAGTCCTGGGAGAGAACTGGCCGCAGTGTGGTCGGACACGAGCAGACTGCCTTGGTTCAAGGGGGCCAGAGCTCCGCCCCGGAACCCCACTCACGAAGGGCACGATGCTGAGTTTCCAACTCCTCTACATCTCGGTCTCTCTAACTGTACCGTGGGCCTCTACCTGTTGGACAGTGAGGATGACACAAGGTTTGACAGGGAATGGGCTTCGACCAGTCCCAGGCATGCAGCAAGTGCTCAATAAATCTTAACTAATGATGAAGTGAAGACTGAATAAGGAGGGCCGTGGATTTAGCTCAGTGGTTTCGACGCCTGCTGCGCAAGCGCAAGGCTCGAGTTCAATCCCTGGTTCAAAAAAAAAAAAAAAGACTTAATAAGGATCTCGGGTTTCTTATAATCATAGTTAATCCTTAATTTTTTTCTCATAAAGCACACATTTTATTAAAAATAATGTGCTAGTTTCAAACTAATCTAAGACCAATTAACTCTAGCTTCCATTTATAGATTATGCATTATTTTAGAGCAGAATATAGATTAGGCAGGAAACACAAAGTAGCTCCAGCCCTTGCATTTGATTCATTCCAGATTTTAAAAAAATAAAGAAAAAACATGAATCCACACAGCTTCTCATGAGATCGGAACAGCAACTCAACTTCCACTTTTCATTCATTCATGTAAGGCTTCACACATTTTTACAAAATGATTATTTAACTTCATAAAGCCCTTTCGGGTTCCTGCAGCCAAAATCCCAGTAAACGCTTGAATGAGGTGCTTGCTGCCTTACCACGCACATGTGGCTGACAGAATGTCAAAGTTACTTTTGCACAGATTCAGCTACTTCGAAGGATTTTTGCCAGCAACATTGGGCTGACAGCCACAATACCGTGGTTGACTACGGATTTCTCCTTTTCAAAATTAAAGCTAAGGCTCTGTGCTTTGGTCATGAGAAAGAATGTATTAAAACAGAACTTGAGAAAACATTATCAAATTGATAGAGCCACTAAAAATCACCTAACTCAAACTCAATTTACAAATAAGAGGAAAGATGTCTAAAAAGATTAAGTCCACAGCAGATCAGACTCACCCTAAATTCCCAGACTCACTGTCTAATACACTTTCCTTTTATTTCATGCTGCCCTGAGGCATAAACCTGCCGGGCACCAAACCTGAAGCCAAAACAGAATTGTTTGAGAATTAAGAGAATTGCCAGTAAGTGCATTTTGCTTAGAGGCTAGAACCAAAGCCCGGTGTGTTTTGTTGTGGTTTTTTGTTTGTTTGTTTTGTTTTTGGTACCGGGGATCAAACTCCGGACCTTGCACTTGAGAGGCAGGCGCCGGAACCACTGAGCTAAATCCCCAGCCCTAATCCCGGTGTCTTTTTAACAATTAATTTTACTAATATCAACACAATAAAAAACCATAAATAAACAGAATTTTGCTCAGTTCTGCGACATCATTCATAGGAAAAAAATCAAACCATGCGTCTGAGCCGGGATTTCTAAGCCTAGAAATAACTCCAGGAACAAGAAGGCTGCAGAATCAGGGTGCAGGAGGGAGGGGTTTCCTGTACTGCAGACCCTAGTGGAGGGACAGAACTGGAATGAGGACCACAAGATTGAGACATAAATATAATTGGACTCACGACAGGAAAAAACATTTTAGCAGAAAAAAGCTGGGAGTGACTAGCTACTGGAAATTCCTATCGCTATACAGAAGGCAGCTAAGCAAGGCAGGAATGAGGGGTCTTCTCCGATGGGAATGTCAGACAGACCTGCGGACCCTCGGACCCACCGGGCTCTGTGTTATGCTAATGTACATCTTCGGTAAATTACTCATTATTGCTAACATCTTTGCCTGAATGTCGCCTAAGTCTGCAAGTGAGTGCAGGTACCTTCAATAACCCTCATCAACAATAATAATCTAGGTTTTTTCTTCAAACTAGTATTAAAAAAAAAAACCCCTAAGTGTAATTTTTTTAATGAAAGGCTTTCTTTGAGGTACGTGAGATATACATAATCACATGCCACTTTGCAATCAGTTTCTGCAGCTTTTTCAAGGACATGACATTCACATTAAAAAAAAAAATCTGTTACAGGTGATTTACTTTTAATTGTTCATGAGAAAACAAATACTCCAAAATCAACTTCTACAGTTTTCTAATTAGGAATTTATGACTTTCAAAAATTAAGTTAAGCCCAGGTTTAGTTACTTCTTTTTTAAAATCATCTCAGGTAACATATACATGTTTGTAAATTGTCTCTTTTTAATAGTTGTACTTTACTATGACAAATGTATTTCTGTTGTTTTGATTTATAATTTTTCAAATGTACAGAAAAGTATGTACAGTGGTAAAATGTCTTCCTACATATTCATCACTAGACCTAACAATTAGTAACATTTTGCCTTTCTGCTTCCTCTACTTTTGAGGGGCATTATGTACTTAAAATAGGTAACAGCAATCTTGACATTTCACTACTAAACATTTCAGTAGTCATCCCTGATGAAATTAACAAATTTAATTAATTATAATTAGTTTAATTAATAATTCCTTAATAACATCTAATACGTAATCCATATTCAATTTTACACATACAGTTCTGATTTTCTACATGTATGAGGTTTTTTAAAATTTTGATGAGCTAAATATGCAGTGAGAAACATTATATGAGTTATTCAATACAGTTTTTAAAAATTATGTTTGGCATGTCTTTTTCTCCAAAATATTTACAATACTTTTCTAACTTTCAGAAAAATTGAAAAAAATTGTAATCTCTACTTATGTTACCATCTTGTCATATCTGATTTTGCGTGTTTGAATGTGCAGAAATAGTGCCTATTAAAATCACTTATAAATAGAGAAGTCATGCTTCACTTCTAAACACAGCATAAATTTATGGCATGTCATGTGAACTTTATTGTAAACATTTAAAATATATAAACGTGTGCTTTCTTTTTAAGTTCAAACTTAGGCAAACTGTTTTTGTTAGACTGCAGAATCTATTTTTCAGATGGTCTAAACTACACGGATATTTCCAATGACCTGACTGCTTTTAATGCTAGAAGAAAGATCTTAAATGCTTATACTGATATAAGCATGTAATATTTTCAATGGGGTGAAATAAAAATACTTCAAATGTTTTGACTTATATATGTATTTTTAGTTGAATTTAGAAATCTACTTTCAAGAAACTGTCTGGATTGGCTAAATATATCTGTACATTTTCTGACATGCTATTTTTCCTGTGTACCTTATCCATTTTTAATTATTACTTAGCTTATGAAGTTTTTAAAAATTGTCTAATTTAGAAAACTATTTTTAAAAGCAGTTTGACTTAGAGATGTACTTTTAAAAGGCTGCCCATATCGGTATCAGACGATACAAGATTTTTAAACTGTCTGAATAGGGGTTAAAAATATTGTTTTTCTCATGTTACCCAAAGCTTCAGAGTATGTTGAACTTTATATGGTTAAAAATTTTAAAACAATGTTTTTCAATCAATTACAATTGTGACCCTAAAAACATTAATGCATATTTTAGATTTTTTTTTCCTCCACAAGGTAGCATAAAACCAAGTGATTTAATGAACAAGGGATTCTTCTTATTTAACATAACTAAAGAGCCACAGAAAAATTTTATTCATTCAGTTTCTATCATTCAGTTTCTATTCTCTCTTGCCTTATTTCAGGACACTTCAGAATCAGTACTAGAATTTGCCATTTTCCCTCCTAATACCTTTACACTTAGTTCTGTACAGCATCATTTCTTTCAGTTTATAAACGTAAAACAAATCTTCAAATTTTTATGTAAAAAAAAAATCCAAACACACTCTGTCCTTGCTTTCTATGCTTTTTGACCAGGCGTTGCATCCTTTCATTCCTAAAACTGCACACACGGCTTGAAAATTGCTTTTCTATGAGCATATGGTCAGATATTTCCCACAGTGACTTAAAAAAAAGAAAGGAAATGTCTTAGGAGACATGTCACAATCACAACACGACATAATTTTTCTATTTGCCATTTTGATAAATGATAATGAAAAAAATAAAAAGGAATACATTTCCTAAGTGGTGAGTTAGTGTGGGATTTAAAAAGCCGTGGATTTTCCAGCACTATCCCCAAGGATCAGGTCTTGGGCTGACATTCGCTCGTGCTCTAATACTGTTGCCATTTAAATTTACCGAGTCTATAGTAGGCAGCCCCCTAGAAGGAGTCTCCTAACTTCACTTTTCAGTTAAGGATATTACAGAGCTAATAATCATCATCTTATTCAAATCACCCGGCCTTGACCCCTTATTTAACACAACAGTAAACTGACACTTAGGGAAAGTTAGCCCCCACTGAAAACAAAACCCCTGACAGTCATCTTTCCAGGACCTTGTTTAAAAAAAATACAAAACCAAAAACAAATAACAAAAACTCTATGGCTAGGCTAAGTAAAGGGTCTGGTCAATAAAATAAATAAATAAATGAATAAATAAATAAGTAAAAAAAGCTATTTTGGAGGGCTGATTTTCACATATACGTCATGTTTTATCTAAAACTTCGAAGGGACGGTAAAGATTAATTTCCTGTCTGGGAAATGGAAAACGAAGAGCCTAGCACCTTACAGTCTCACAAACACAAGCCCCCAGGAAAAACAGTGAAGCAATTATTTACAGGGAACACAGGCACACAGAGGTCTGTGAACCCATTAAAAAAGGCCAGGGGAGGTGGAAAAGCACATACAAACACACACACAAACAACACAACTCCTGCCTGGGGGTGGGGGGAGTCGTTCACTAGCAAGAATTTGGTTGTGAGATCGTGCAACTTGGCTATTAGAGCCAAAGTGAGGCCCGCTTGGAGGCGGGAGGGGGCGCTTACAACAAAACAAAACAAAAAGGCATCAGAAAGGCTCAACGCTTCCAAGACCTGGTGTTAAAACATATGTAAATTGGAAGCGACCGGTCGGGCAGTGATGACGGCGGAGGAGGGGGTCTGGGGAGGGCTGCGGGAGTGAGAGATCAAGACAGAAGCGGCCAGGCCTAAAGCTGTTTTCCCCCGTCGAGGATCCTAGACGGCTCTTGGCTGTAGCCAAGAAACCCTGCATTTCCGTATTAGCCTTATTATTATCTTCTTTTTTAAACAGAGAGACAGACAGAGACAGACAGACAGGCACAGCCGCAGTGCACACGGTGCGTGTGTCGGAGAGGCCGCCAGGAGACTCACCGCAGCAATGCTACGTGAATGCAGAGGGCTGGAGGTGGTGTGACTACTCACTTGCTCGGCTAACAGCTGCCGGTTTTGGATGGAATTATTCCGCAACAACAAGAAAGCGTCGGTTAAACGCCTGGTGGCCATGTCTCACCCTTTGTGACCCCCTCTCAGGGTCCCCCCACCCACTTATCCAATTTATTCACTTTCTTTCTCTTGGTCTGGCCTAGCTGGCCCACCCTTTCACAGAAGCCTCCCTTGACAAGGTCCCAGGCCTCAAGCCAAAAGCAGCAGCTTTGCACTCCGCCTAACGCAAAGACCCCTCCCCAAATAACCACCTAGGCTTTCCAATTGTCTGACTCCCCCTACCCAAGGCCTGGCTTCGATCTCTAAGCACTTGAATCCCCCCAATCGTTGCTTAGCAAGCCAACGTCCTGGAGACCCCTCCCCAATCCAACCTTAGATCCACAAGCGTCCAACTCGCCAATCCCACTCAGCTATGGGAGGGTCTGAAGCCCCCTGCCCGTCTTAATACATGAGCTTTCCTAAAGGTCTCTGCTCCTGCCCCTAACTTGGCTTTTGAGCGTTTAGACCCTGTGGGTTTTTTGCCAGGCTCTGACTCATTCAACTATTCCCACTAGGCTTGCTTTAGTTTCCTGGTCGAAAACCCCGAACCAGGCCTGAGCCCTGAACTGCTGTGCGTCTGCAGCTCCCTTTTTGAATGAGCCTGAGCTTGCTAAGTCTCAGCTCGATCTCCTGACCCCTTTCTTCCCTTGGTGGCCGGGACCTTCACTGCCAGCAGGCTGCCAGTCTCCAGGAGGTCAGCAGGGTCTGCCTCCCCAGCCTCCTCACTCCTCTTCTCGGGCTCCCTCCATCCCCGGATCTGATTACAGCCCAGCCCTGGGCCGTTTCCGTGCAGCGGTCCTGGGTTCTGGCGTCCCCCCTGCCCCTCTTCCTGTCCGTCCCTCGCGAGTGGCCCCCCCCGCGACGTTGCAGGGCTTGCTCCCAACGTTCCGGGTGTAGGAACGCCCTGGCCCTTTGCCCCAGGCGCGAGAGCGCCCCGCCCTCTTCCGGGGCGCTTCCCGGGGCTGCCGTGTTCCCCTGCCCGGAGCGGGCTCGGGGACTGGAGCTGGACAGCCGGCGGGCCCGAGCGTCTGCAGTGAGGCCCCTAAGCCGAAAAATGCTTTCAGGGGCCTAGGGCTCCGAATTAGAGTGGAAGTTGTGCGGCAGGCAAGTTTGTGTGCCCGCAGAGCCCGCGCGGCGGTGTCGAGCGCCTCTGCAGGCCGGGCAAGCTCCACTGCAGGCGCCGCCCGCTGCGGCTTTTTTTTTTAATTCTGAAGGGGAAAAAAAAAACAGTGAGAGAGATGAATCGAAAAACAAACGTCGGGGGGAAGCGGTGAGAAAAGAAAGGGAAAAAAGGCCGCGCGCTCGGACCCGCAGGCCGCCCGCACGCAGGGGTCGCCTGGGCGCCGCCCGCCCCTCCGCCGCGTTCTGTAGGGGGCACTGCAGGGTCGCGCATTTCCAGAGGGAAAGTTCCCGGGAAACTGCCCCCCGCCCCCAATTAGCTCTGCCCCGCGCGCCCGCCAGCCGGGCCGTCCCCGGCCCAGCCCTCGAGAAGCCTCCACCCGGGCCGGCGGGACTCGGCGGGGGCTGCTCCGACTCCGAGCCCGGGCGGCGACTGGCGGGCGGCCTGCGTGGGCCGGAACCACCTGCAGGCCGGGTGGCCCGGAGTGCAGTCAGCTCGCCCCCCGAGCCCCCTCCTGCCCTCTTCAGAGAACCGATCTTGGTAAATAACAACCGAGCTGCTTTTCTGCACAAACATCAAATCAGGTGATTAGAGCCGTGGTCCCATTCTGCTTCATTCTCTTGAGCGCTCACCCCCTTGCCAAGCAGGTCCTTCTTTACTGCTGGCTAGAATGTGGTCTTCCTCCTACGCAGGGCTGTGTTTAGTCATCTTTGTACCTACTGCCATCTCATCTGGCTTGCAATGGGCTCTGGATAAATGTCTTTTAAATATGTGCACGAATGAATTAGAGACCCGAGATTTAATCCCCAAACCATCTTACATCCCTCCAGTGACTCAGCCTTTTTAGCCTTTATCTGTTAAAAGAGAGAGAAAAAATTATATGTATATATATCCTACAATCCGTGCCCTGTCTACCTATTGTGAAGATCAAATAAGATAAGTGACAACACGGTAAACTATCAGGTGCTGAACAAATATTATATAGGATGGTTATTCATTCTCTCCACGCAGGAAGCTTAACAAAGTAATTCCTGGTATTGTGTTTCACCAAATGGTGATCACCCTTCCTGGTCAGTTTTAAATATTTATTGTGGAACAGTCTCCTCCTTCTTACATGTAGGAAATCAATCGGGCTTCTGTTTCTTTCAGAGAAATGAATGTGGTTTGCACACATAAATAATGACAGAAAAATCTTAGTATTCACCAAGCAGCCACCTTAAGGAACCCAAGAGCCCACAAGCAGGGAGAAGGTGAAGAACTCCGGAGATAGCTATAGTAACCCAAGGGCAGTACTGTGCACCTCTGCCTTATCCAAGCAGGGGCGTGTGTGTGAGAGGGTGTTCAGCAGAAAGGAGAGTGCCCTTGGGAAGGTATGCCCGCTGTCTGGTCATGCCCAGGTACACCCTGACCCACCTTGGAAGGGAGCAGGAGAAGGATGTAAATCATTATATTTGAATGTTCCTTGGCTGCTTTATTTTCCTGTCAAGTGGCTTAAGCTTGATTTAAAAAAAAATTCTCTCATGGCCAAGTATGTGTTTCCTTGGAATTGAAATCTAGGTTGATGGTTTTATATTTTAAAAGCTTTCATTGTGAGTCACTCTTGGCCTGGGATGAGATTCTGTAATACTCCCCAAGCTGACAGAGCCTCTGTGTCCTGTTTCTTGGGCTTTGTAACCACTTTCTAACATTTTGCCAATGGATCCAAGAAGTCAGTTTTGGGGACAAATGTTTCACCATCTCCTTGTCACCCTAATCAATGTGGAAGGGAACCATAAACATGGACTTTCCCGAAGCGAAGCCAGAGGATAGCAGGGGCGGGGAAGGTGTTCAAGTGCTAACAGGCAAGTGGCTCAACAAAATCAGGCAGCAGTGGGGACCTTGGCAAAGACCTTTTTAAAATGGGATAGGTCTAGTGAAGCCCTCACATGGACTCGGCCATTTTGAGTGCTCCTTATGGGGGTAATAAGATTTATGGCAGCAGCATCTGGCTGTCGCAAGACTCATATGGGCTCTCCTCTCCCCAGAAGGCATCACAGGCCCCAAAAGGGAGGCTATGGCTATGGGAGCCCAACACTATCCAAGCACATTTTCGAGATTCTCGTTCGGTGGCTTGGCAATCCACACTGTCGTGTGGAAGAGGAGCTTAGACAGTCCCCAATGGACACCGCTTTCTAGTGCATATAGAAAGACATAGGGTCATTCTCTTATCAAGACGAGCTGCAGAAGCCCAAAAGCCTAAGAAATGTCTCATTTGCACAGATCTGACAAAGCAGGCAGATTCAGGAAGTAGGAGCTTTGTATCCTGTCTACCCAAATAGTTCCTCAAAACCTTGAGGTTTTCCGAGCCCAGAAAACTCCTAGCACTGTCTTCAGCCGTGATCCCTCTCCCAAGCAGAGGCTTGGAAAGAGGCATCAGTTCTCTTTTGTCCAGACCACGTTTGCTTTTTAGCCCAGACAACTCAATTCGTGTGTATATCTAAAAGTCTGCCAAGGGCTGAGCCTAGCTCTTGCCGAAAGGGAGGAAACAGACCCAAACCTTTGCCCTCAAGTACCTGGCATCTCCGCTGCCTCCGCCCGAATTCTGGTTCTCATCACAGGAGCTTCTCTGACGCCTCCTAACAACCACTCATCTCTTCCCCTTCATCCATCCTCTATCCCGCAGCCACAATGACCTTTGCAAAGCACAAATCGAATCATGTCACTGCCTGATCGAGGCCCTAAAACAGCTCCCTCTGGCCACAACAGCCAATCTCAAATGATGCACAGCAAAAAGCAGGTGGTCTCCAAGCTGCACCACGCTGGGCTGTGGCTAATATTAACTAATGACCGTCTTCTCCGGATTGACAGAAAAAATTAAGCTAATTGATGAAAGAGTCTCCATCTTAAGTGTTTCTCTCCTCACTTTCTCTGAAACCATCGGCTCTGCTACTGTGGGACTGTGTTAGAATGTAACTTAGGACTGCATCCGATTTGACCCAGAAGCACACCTTGCATCACAGTTTCTTTTTCATGTGTTCACCCTGCCTGGTGTTGTTCTTTCCCGAGGCAGTGTGCTGCCTTCCTCCCTGACTGAGGGCTGGCCTCCAGAGCCTTCCCCAGCTCCTTCCTCCCCAGGACTCACTCCTGGGCTTTTCTGCAGGATGGTGGGCCTTTCCTCTCTGCTTGGGGAACTCTCCCTGGTAGCCTGCACCATTTGCTGTAATAAATGTTTGAGGAATGGATGAGTGATAGCTTGATACATACATGGCAAGATGAGATTGAGTACCAGAGAGTACAAAACAGAAAACAATGAAAGTGCATGGTACGGAGAGCATAGTGGTCCTCTGAACCCTCTAAGCATTCCCATATGACTGGGTCCCTTTCAGGTCTCGGGTCCACTTGATACTAAGCAGCCCTCCTACCTTGTCCACAGTATGGGCAAAGGCTTCTCGCCCATGGCCCATCCTTGGTCAACCTCAAGATTCAAACACTGTCTACCATCCTGGCTTTCGGTCTCTCAGGCCAAGGAAAAGGCCTCTTTGGTAATAACAGATGCCTGCAAAGCATATCTGCATTCTTCTTTTCTTCCCAGGATGATGTTGACCCGTACTGAAATAAATCAGCCTCCCATCTTAACCATCTCTCTTGGCAGGAACACGAAATTGTTGTGCCGAGCCCAGGCTGACCAGTATGACTCAACCCCTGAAATACAAAGGAAATCATTATGTTTTCACCCTAGCAGGTATTGGGACGAAGCCAGCTTATCAATTTCTAGTTCTTTTCCCCCATGGCCATTACCACCAACCTGCTCGTGGTAATTTGTGTGAGATGCAAGTACAGGGATGGACTCTAGCCTTTTCCAGATGCTTCTTTGTCACCATATCCACTCTTCCTTTGGTTGCAAATGACAGAACCAAATCAAATTGGCTTAAGTTTAAAAGCAAAGGTGTTGACACAAGTGAATAAAGAAACGGGAGCATAGCTGGACCCAGAGGTAAACAGTGTCAACAGGAGTCTTGATGTCTCAGCTCTTCCTTCCTGAGAGTCACATTCTCAGGGCAGCTCTCCCAGGGGTGAGAAGATGATGTCTGGAAGCTCTGCCCTGGTGTCTCTCCGTATAGCAACCCTGATAGGAAGAACACTTCTCTCTGCCAATGGTTTCAGCAAAAGGCCTAGAATTGACTTTCCTTGGCCTGTCTTGGGTCACATTCTTAGCACTACACCCCAAACCATGGCCAGAAAATAGTGATCACCAGAGCGGTGAGCCCTGGATCACATGACCACTTCTGGGTCAGGGAAGTAAGGGCACCAGGGTCTGATTCACCACAGCAAAACAGATGCAAGTTTACCTTTCCTGAAATCAGTTGAATGTTCAAATACAACAGATTTCTGCCTCTGGCCAGTTTCTGATCCATCCCCGACCCTCTGCACATGGCCATATGTCTTAAAACTCACTCCCCTGGCTACTGGAACTTTGGTCACAACAAGTTCTGTTCCTTTTACATCTCCTCAGGGCCAAGCTCCCCAAAGGCTAATTTTCTGCAGTGTTTTAATCCTTGCTATTTTGTTACCTTTCAGCTACTGTGATCATCTGCCTCTAGGTTTTCTTCACCAGCTCCCTCGTCTTCCTCCTGAGCACTCCACGGGGGCTTCCAGCTTGCAGCACAGAGCTGGCTGGTGTCCTGCACATCCAACACAAGCTGTCAGTTTCCTGCCTAA